AAGAGTAGAAAGATAAAGAAACCCCTACGACAACCTACCTCCTATTTCTCTGTTATGCTTTGTCAGCCGCCTCAGTCTGGGAGTGTCACAGCTGGGCACATCGTGGGGGAAAACTCTGCCCCTCCCGTCTTTTAGTGGGTCCTTGGTTTTTTGCCCTGCCCCGTAGGGTTACAATTTTTCAAGTTGCCCAAATAGAGGGTACTGTCAGGGGGAGGGAGGAAGGGAGAACTGGGGTGGGTGGGCACAATTGTGGGGGTGCTGAAGGGGTGGGTATGTGTACACAGAGGCAGTATTTGGGGGGTGCCAGTGATGATATTTTGGGGTGCTAGAGGAGTAGGTGTATGTATTGAGAGGGAGTATTTGGAGGATGTTGGAGAGGGTATTTTGAGGTGCTGGAGGGATGGGTGTATACTGGGAGGGGATATTTGGGGGGTGCTGGAGGGGTGTGTGTGTGTACTGGGAGGGGAGTATTTGGGGGCACAGGAGAGGGCTGCGCAGGGTCCCCCTGGTCAGACACCTGCACTCGCTTCCCCAGAGCCCAGTTGTGGGGTGCCCCCCAGCCCAAATGCCCCCATTTCCCTCCGCCTCCGAGCTCAGACACAGGCTCCGCTACGCTCAGCTTCATTACTGTCCCACTTTGGGGATGTGGTGAGGCCTCTCACTTCCTCACCCTTTGCGAGAGCCGGCGCAGCCAGGTCTCCTGGGCCCTCTCCCATCCTTGGGAGGATGAGGATCAGGCCCGGCAGCCAGAGCATGCAGAGCTGCAGGGCCTCCAACCCCACCAGGCGGGGTGCACCTTTCAGTGTGGGACCACAGCCCACACGCTGCCTCCTTCATTCAGGGCGTGCCGGAACCACAGCCCACCTGCATCTCCCTTGCAGGCACACTGTGAGCTGGGGAGCTGGGCTCTGCTGGGTCCAGCAGCTCTGCAGCATCAATTCTGCGGGGAAAAAATAAAATTCTGCACAAATTCTGCATCCCCCAGGAGTAAATTGGCCTCTGTCTCATGCTAAAGCCATGACTTTCAACAGTTTTCAGCACCGTGGCCCATCTGCCTACTTTCCTTTCCTCTTCCCTCATCTGTCCTGCCCAGTGACTGTTTCCCCCTGCAACTCTGTTCATCAGACCAAAATGGCAGCTGACAGCATGGCACAGCCTCTCCGCCACCTCCCCTGCCACAGCACATTTGGATAATGAAAAAAATCATTTGTACAAAATCATTTGTACAAAAGAAGTATAGTCAGTATTCATGAGTGCCCAGTAAAGGTACAAAGGTGCAAACAGTCCTGTTCCCTGCTGAGGTGTAACTGCCCTGTAAAATGCATTGTAGCTGACAATCATTGCAGGGCCCTATCTATTTTTCTCTGCACTTTCTCCATGTCTGTAGGGGAGGTAAAGCAAAACTTAAAACTGAGTACTTGCTCGAGTTTTGGGTTGCACATTATAAGACATAGCGACAAGCCCATGCCTCTGGTATAATTTGCAAGCCCCTTCCGCTCCTGCAACACTTCTGGGGGGAACCATCCTGGTGCATAATTTCTGTGTATGTCACTGATCTGCCCTTTGCTTTTTGAATAAGGCCTTCTCTGTCTCCTAGTCACCTACCTTAGTGTAATGTCATCAAGACTAAGGACAACCTAAAGGGCATGTAGAGGGGGTTACTATCTGGCTTGGCTCCCCCCATAACCTCTCATAACCCCTCTGACACCAGAGGAGCCCCTTAAATGCACAAATAAAACTGCAAACCAAAATGAGAGCATAATTCGACCCACCACACCTCCTAACCCACACAGCGGCAAACAGCATATACAGCAGACAGACATCCCAGTGCACCCAGCACCTCCTCACATGCCCACTGCTTACCGTCTCTGAGGTTCCCCCAAGGCTGGGAAGATCCTAAGGGAGGTAAAGTCATGTATGCATACTAAAAAATGCTATCATGCCCTGTATGAAATGTGAACAACAAATGACTTTTTCCCCCATACTTCCAAGGCACCTACAACAAGCAAACCATCAAGGACCATGCCTTTATCTACTGCTGGTAGGCAAGCCAACCTGAGGAGGTGGGAAAGGAAGACTCTGTTCAAGAGGTTTGTAGAGCTTATGATAGAGTCCCAGGGGAAGACCGCACTGGCTGAGAAGTGCAGGCAGTACACGGCGACCCAGACAGAGAAGGAAATGAAGCTCTCCCAAGAGATCATGACAGTGGCCAAGGACAGTGTTACAGAGGCCAAGGACAGCATCCCCATAGCCAAGGACAGCATGGAAAAAGACAAGGGAGATGCAAGGCAACTTATGGATGCTATCTGGATCCAGAATCCTCTCCTCCAAAACATGCTACTGCCAGGCCAGCGGTCCCTTCAGTCCTGTAACCCAGGATTTAGCCACATCCTTCAGCCCCTAGACAATAGTGGCTACTGGGACCATCAACAATTCCTCCCCTCTTTACCCATTCTTCACTTATCCCAGAGACCATTCTCCTCTCAGATCCATCATCTGCCCACCAAGAAGACTGGCTTCGGGAAGCCCAGCACTTTTGACCCCCGCAATGCACCTGCAAATTTTGAGCTGTGGTATTCAACCCCAGAACCCCCACATGCAAGAAAAGGCAGAAGGAAGACCTATATGTGCCTGTAACTTTAAGCTACCACCACCACCATCTTGTTAGTTTTGCACTTTTTGCACTGTTGCGCTTTCAGTTTGGTTTGCACTGTTGCTTTGTTTAAAGATTTGCTTTTTGTTAGTCAGTGAGTAGATTGTTCTGGTAAATGTATTTTCAAATAAAAAGCTATTGTTATTTATCCATCGGTTCAATTAAACTTTATTTTTGATCTTGTTTTTGTCCCTTCATAATAAAAACCTTTTAAAATCCATTTTGGTCCATTATGACTCATCACTGCATATAACACACAAAATCCTTTAAATGAAGCTAAAATAATCAATACGGCTTCACAAGAGTATGTAGGCAATGTCTCACTTCCACCACCCATAATCAATACTGGACTGTTCACAGTCTATCTCACCCCCCAGGGATTAGCAGCTGAATGCACAGCTACACATGTTCAACCATGAGACTCAAAATATGAACAATAGGCATCCCTGACAATATTCTCCCTGGCATTAGCATCCTCTATGGGATGCCGTGCTGGCTGCTCAAACCGCCAAGCAAGCATCAGTACCTCAGCCTCCCACCAATCATTGAGGCTTTCCCCTTTGGTCTCACAAATATTGAGCAGCACAAAGCTATAATGGTCAGGACATTTTTTTCTGCTGTTTCCAAATAGCTCTCAGCACTCTGTCACAGAATCAACAGCTGTCCCAGCACTCTGATCATTTAAGCTCTGATTAGTTCCCCCTAGAGCAGTGCTTCTCAAAGTCGGCTGGGATGACAAAGCCCTGGCTGGGATGATTTAGTTGGGAATTGGCAGGGGTAAAAGTAACTTAAAGGATTTACCGGTATGCCGGAATCCTGCACAGGGGGCGTGGCCTCAACTGGAAGAGATGGGGGCTTTAAATACCTGGGCCCTTTAAATCACCCCCAGAGCTACCAGCTGCAGAGGCGGCTGGGAGCGCCAGGGCTCAGAGGTGATTTAAAGGGCCCGGGGCTCCCTGCAGTGGACGGAGCCCTGGGCCCTTTAAATCACCACCAGAGCCCTGCCACTGCTACCCTAGGACTCCGGCAGTGGGGCTCAGGAGGCAATTTAAATGGCCCAGGGCTCCGTCCTCTGCAGGGAGCCCCGGGCTCTTTACATTGCCAGCCTGGGGAAGCCGGTCCAGTCCAGCATGGCGTACTGGCTCTTGCCAGTATGCCGTACTGGACCATACTGGCTTACTTTCACCTCTGGGGATTGGTCCTGCTTTGAGCAGGGGGTCAGACTAGATGCCCTCCTGAGGTCCCTTCCAACCCTGATATTCTATGATTCTATGATGACTTCAGTGGACATTGAATTAGATGCAATAGGGGCTGCACACCAATATTAAATTATTACTGTGTGTGGCTATGGAGACATATATAACCAATTGTCAGCAATTGTAGAAAGTAATGAAAACTGAGTTGCAGCACTTAAAGATTGGGGAAGCCAAAAGCAATTGTACGAGGGTTAAAAAAACAAAACAAAAAACTTTATGTAAGTGTAGTGTAGAAAGGGGTAGTTTTAAAACTGTTGGATCCCAAGTAATTTTATTCTAAAAATGGTTAGTTTAGAGAAACAAGAAATGGTAGGCCAGCTCTATTCTCTTACTGCCAGCTCAGGGATATGTCTCCCATTATTTAGTCACAAGGGCTTTTTTCCATACTTTAGGGGACATCCATGATCAAGCAAAATAAGCACAATTATTAACCATAGCTATTTTATTATTAAAGACAGGAAAAGAAAACATTAGACAAAACACAAATAATAAATTGGTTACTTCTGTTACAAACTCTTGTGTATGTCTCTCTGTGGAGAGTGTTTAACAGAAATTACACCTTTGAGAGTAGACCGCATCTGAGGGGCTCTTTTCCCTTCGTAAGTAAGACCAAAATATATTGTTGTCCACAATTCCTGTGAATTCAGTTTTAGTATCTTATTAGATGTTTAAAACTGTTTTCATATGGGCAAAATAATTTGTTTAAGGGCAAATGAAATCTGTCTAGTTATTAATAATAACCTAAACCGTTTATAGCTGGACAAAGTAAGCAATCTTAACTATGGTTTAATCTTAACTATGAAAATCAAAGAAGATTTTTAAATTAATTACTTTGAAGAAGCCACTTAAGGAGCTGTCCTAAGCCAGGCCAATTACAAATATTAAGAATCTTAAATCCAGTTACATCCCACTATTTTGCTGTTTACCAATGTCTAGCCCCTATCTCTGCTTCAAGAATATATGGTCTAACCACTTGGTGATAAAACAAGAGAAAATTATAGAAATGTAAGTTACAACAGAATTTGCATAGCCCAGTGAAATCATTACAAGAGTTTTAAATCTAATCCATTGGAAGTCTTAACTTTCTCTCATCAATCCATGTTGAGGTCTTGGGGAGGTTTTCCTTCGGTTGGTTTCTTCCCAAATCTTCTCTGTCTGTGGCAGCTTGCTTGTAGAGCTGAGGCATTTGGATTGGTGATCTTGATAGCAAGCTGAGCTGCTTGTTCCACAATTACCTTGTGATTCTTGGAGGAAACGTTGTGAGCAATCTCTGCACAATAAGACTTGTTACTCAACATCAGCACCTCAAGTTCTTTGACATTGTGGACCAGAAACTTTTTGAATCCTCTGGGCAGCGTGTGTTTCATCTTTCTATTGCTACCATAACCAATGTTGGACATCAAGATTTGGCCCTTGAACCTCCGGCGAGCTCTGTTATCGATACCTCTTGGTTTACGCCAGTTGCACTTGATCTTGACATAGCGATCTGACTGATGACGAATGAACTTCTTGGTTCTCTTCTTGACGATCTTAGGTTTCACCACAGGTCTGAGGGCAGACATAGCGTCTACAGCAAAGCTCCCACTTCCACTGGCCAACACGGTGGCTTATGCAACCACTTTAAATTGGGATTTCCAGTGTGATCTTAGTTGACTAGAGGTGAACCTCAGATACAATTCCTAATGGCGGCCACTCTGAGAGGCAGCGCCGCTGAGAAAACACACCTCTCTCAGGCTTGTTTAGATTCAAGTTGGTTGTTGTCACTTTCATTGTCATCATGCCTTCAGGGCTGGCTTAGCTGACACTTTCAGCTCTTGAATATGCAGTCCGTTTAATGAATATGTAACATTTCTTTAATTGCCTTTGTTCTTTTCCAAGCAAGAAAGATCCAGATAACGTTTAAAGTTAGTTTTAATAATTTCTTTTTATTCAGTCCATTTTTGAGACTTGATTTTATTAGCATTTGAGAGGAAATGAAATTGTTTTCAAACTGTCCAAACATTCCTGTCCTTTATACACAAGTTTTTACCTCTCAAAAGAGACTTTTTAAATTAAATAACTCTTACAAAGATTTTAGTTTAAATATTTACTAGTTGTTGACTCTGCAGAACAATTTTTGGAACACCAATTTTCTTGTCTTCCTGAGTTGGTGAGGGTTTGCTTGTGCACTGCCAGTAACTAATTAATTCCACATTAATATAAATATTTTGCACTTAAATAGCCTCTTACATTAGTAACTAGTTTAGCATCAAATGAGCTTGCTATATTTATACATATGACATCTTATTATTCATACAACAATGCTATCGGACAGTTATTATATGAAGGTTTATATTTTAGATATAAAATATTTGCAAATATACATTTTGAAAGCTTATGCCATCTTAAACATTTGAGAAACAACAAAGGTTTTCATCTTTAAGTAGAAACGTGAGTTGGAAGTAACCAGTATCTTCTGCAAAACATTCCCCACCATAAATGTTCCCCAAGTTCAAAGAAAAAAGACTTTAGGGTGTTTACAAAATAAATCAGTTTCAATAAGGATATTTCTGGAATTCTTTGTGTAGGTTTAAACTCAGGTTTTCCTTTGAAAAGAAAAGAAGAAGCTGGTGTAGGCTCACTTTACAAGTATATTTATGGCTCTGATAACACACCCTATATTCCTTCTTACTCTCTACTTAAAACATGAATGGTCTGTCTTTGTAATGTTTGCTTGTCCTTGAGAGATAAAAGCAGAAACTTTCTGGAATTTCTTTGATTAGCTCTAAAACTTTGTAACATAAATAGCTAAATATATGTATTGTTGTATTTCCAAGCAACCTAGCTATAACATTCTTGTTGCTATATCTTAATATTTAGGAAAGGTGAAAACAAGTTTGAAATGAAGTTATAATTGTATTAATCTATTTTGCATTAATATTGAGGTCTCTTCCCCACATAAGAAGAAATATACTGTAGAAAATAGGTGATCTTCCTACTGTAGGCCAAATTCTGTTCATTTTTACAATGAGATGACTAGGACTACATGGGTACAAATGAGCAGAATTTAGCCCATTTGTTTAAAATCTGAGGCTGAATTCTGCAGTCCTTAACCAAGCAAAACTTCTATTGGCATCGGTAACAGTTTTGCTCAACTGAGGACAGCAGAATTTGGCTCTGAATGTTTTTTTCTCCTTCAAAAATATAAATTGCCTTTTCTTCACATGCCTCCACCCTGCTCTGGATGACCTGCGTGCCTCTTGCTTTTGTTTCAGATACACAGCTTTTTCCCTCCGCCTCATCTTTCTTCAGAGAAAGCCTGGGGCTGATAAGAAAGGGTAGCAAACTGCTTATGCCTGGCCAGCACTCTGCAGTTGCTCCCTGTGTGCCCCACACTGCCAGACACCTAGTAATGTCTTTCTCTACTTCCCCTTGTCCTGCTACTGTTGGCATAATTGCACAAAACAGCTGTTAATCGGGCTTTGTATAGTCAGTACAAATGTCAAAACGTGCTGTGACCTCACTCAAAGTGTGGTAACTTTTACTGGTTTCAGAGAGGTAGCCGTGTTAGTCTGTATCTACAAAAAGAACAGGAGTACTTGTGGCACCTTAGAGACTAACACATTTATTTGGGCATAAGCTTTTGTGGGCTAAAACCCACTTTATCAGATGCATGTAGGAAGATATATATATACAGAGAACATGACAGTTGACAAGAAGGTGTGAGTAACAGTGGGGGAGGGGGTGAATTAGCATGGGGAAATAGTTTTTAGTTTGTGTAATGACCCATCCATTGATACACAAATTCTTGTCAACTGTTTGAAATGGGCCATCCTGATTACCACTACAAAAGTTTTTTTTCCTCCTGCTGATAATAGCCCACCTTAATTGATTTGTCTCATTAGTGTTGGTATGGCAACCCCCATCTTTTCATGTTCTCTGTGTATATATATCTTCCTACTGTATTTTCCAATCCATGTATCTGATGAAGTGGGTTTTAGCCCGCGAAAGCTTATGCCCAAATAAATTTGTTAGTCTCTAAGGTGCCAGAAGTACTCCTCGTTCTTTTAACTTTTACTGGGTGCTTCACAAAGCATAATATTCTCCGTGCCCCACAAAATCCTGCAGAATCCTCCCACTGGAAATGCATGGGCTTCTGTATTTGCTAAGCCCAAGGGAAGAGGGCACGGGGTGGGGGTGGAGGGAAAGGTTCTTTATATCCCACCCACCCCTTTGCACTAGTGCAGGGGATGGCCATAGTCTGGTCCTATACGTGATATGCTGTCTGGCAATTTAATGCCAAGGGCGATGTCATGCTTTCCTGTGGGGGAAAAAAACCTATGGGAGAATTGGGAAACTCCACAAGCTTCTTCAAAATCACGCTGCAGAGAGCAAGGAGAGTTTTTGTCACATCCACAGATTGGGCAGGGGACAGAGACCTAACCTGCTGAAATCTCATGAGCTGCAGAGAAATTCTATGATTCTCAGGGTACCCACAAGGGAGTACCCAGCGCCACCCCATTACTCCTTAGGGGCTCTGTATTCCCTTTGGCAGCACAGCTCCCTTAGGAGCCAGGCTGTTATTAGTTCTCTGCCTGTAGGTGGGCCCAAAGCCTGTGTGTGTGGAGTGGGACCCTGTGTGAGATAATGATTGAATGTCAGCATTACTTTACCTAGAAAATATCCCTGCAGACCTGCCACCGAGAGTGACTCTCCGCTGATCTGATCCAAAACCATGGAGCCCCAAAAGTGAAGCATCTGCAGACTTGGAGGAATCATGTCCCATCAGCCCAGGCCCAGCTCGCTAACAACATTTGTACCAAAGTGGGGGAGGGGAATTCAAGTCCTTTCATCATCTGTTTGAAGAAAAAATTAAAATGATACTCTGGCCCCACTTACACTGAAAGGTCCCATTTTTGGTAACTGTGCTAGCACCATAAGGAATGACTCTACCCACACTGAGCAGAAAGGTTTGCTTTATATGTAGTCTGCCCTTGGCTGTAGCACTCTAGTCATGCATCCATGTTCTACAGTTACCTGATGAAATTTGTTACTAATGAATACTCCTGGGGCCATGTACCTACTGGCTTCCAAGTGCTATTTAACCGGGCTTATGACAGCCACATATTGCATTTAGTCCTTCCAAGGTCATTTCACTTCTAATGAATCCTAATTTCTCCATGCTCAGCCACACTCTTCTCCTTTATTGCAGTAACAGACAGATGGTTGCAAACTATTTATTTTATAATGAAATCTGGTAAAGGGGACTGCATAAAGGCCCAGAAAATAACATCTGCCAAGTAGAAATGGCCTCTGAACTAAGGGTGGAACAAAGCTGTACTGGAAAATGGAGATGCTCTAATGCAGTGTTTCTCCAACAGTGCTACAGAGACTGCTGGTTGCTGACAGCCCTGCTTATGTCACGGCGTGAAACATCTGTCACTCTGTAATCCGTGATCCGTTAGTTGTAGCCTAGTCCAGCACTCTTCGAGTAAATGTCCAGCCAGGCTGATGTTTAGTTTTCCTGTTTGCAGACACAATTTGTGCCTGCAAAAAAATACACCATTTTTTCTCCTGCCCACAAGTGAACTGTGTGGCTGCAAAGCTTAGTGGCTTCATACCCACCTACCAGATTTGCATCTGAAATACATACCATAGTTAGATACGTAATTAGTAAGATTTTCACTGACGTTATAATTGCAAGTGCAAATTCTGGATGAGTTGCAGGTGAATTATTTTTGGAAATATGAAAAGGGTCGTTTCCTTTTACTTCCACTCCTGGTTCCTACCAATGTTGCTACTGCCTCCTTTGACAGTTCTTAGCTGTCCTCTTTTTGCTATGGCATGAATCCCTAAGCCAGACTTGGCCGTATTGGCCATCAAACACATACAAATGGCTCCATTCATCCATTTTATCATCTTCTCTGGGGCAGCAAGTCTTGCACAGAAGAATTTTATTCCCTGTAAACCCATTCACTCTTAATTGCGCAAGTGCCTGCAACTTGCTTTTTAAGCATCCTCTGTGCCACTAGCAAGATTACCAATATTTCCCTGCTTTCTACCCCCACCATCCGTCCAAGCAAGAACAACTTCCTGTGACTTCCTCTAGTCTCCATTAACTCTGCTTCATAAATCATACCAAAGGTTTTGCACATCCTCAAACCTGAGACACCATCTGTTCTCTAAATCCAAAGGGAGTAGAGTTTCTTTCCCTGTATCACCGCTCGACAAAACTTTCTAACTTTCCAAAAAAGGTAGTCGGGTGTTTTGGGTGATTGTTTTATCAAGTGCCCATCCTGTTGGTCTCTCTCCTCCCTCTCCATAATTACCCTTTTTAGAATGCTTTTATATCCTTGGAGACAAAAATTATATCTTAATGTATTCGGTCTCTACTGACTTGCATTGCTCTGGCTTCATGCTGTATTCTCCTTCATCTTCCTCCTAGCCCAATTATTCTGCTCTGCGGGCCTTCCCTCCCATCGCTGAACCCATAGATAGATACATTTACAGGCTTTTATTAGGATTCTTCCTCCTCCCCTTTTTGTTGCCCAAAGTCTGCAACAGATTTGGGTTGTATCTGGAGCAGTATCATTAATGTTATCCATCCCAGGGATGATGATGTTGTTGTTATCATTTATTATTTGCATGACAGTACTACAAGTTAGTTAATGCCAAGATGACTTTCTTGTCTAAGAAGTAGAGCTAGTTGACAATCCTGCGACAAAATGGTTTTTCACCAAAAAATGCCAATTAGTTGAAACTGAATTTTTTTTTGCAGGAATTTCTCAGCTCAATTTAAAAAAAAAAATCTAAATTGTTGAGACATCATTTTGAAATTGTCATTTTCTCAATGAAAAATTCAGGTTTTTATAGTTCAAAGCCACTTTTTGTTTCAAAATTGAATCTAGCTAGTGTAAAAACGTTTAAATAAAAAATGCCTGAAATTGAAACAAAACATTTCAAAATTATCAAAACAATTTTTTTCAATTAACCCAAATCAAAAAATATTGGATTTGTGGGACACAAACATTTCTAAAATTGTGATTCTTTGTCCTGATTTGGGATAAGAAAATTTTAAAAAATTTCACAGGACAGGAAAACAGTTTCCTGCTTAGCTCTGCCGAAAAGCAGCTGGACCAAACATAGCTACTTAGGTGATCGAGATTTTACTGTAATTACTGCTTCTTGGAACCAACAGTCCCATTCCCCTCCCCCTCCCCACACACACATATTTCTAACTCTTTTTGTCATGCTGGTAATTTTAAAAATGTAAGTCAATTACTAGAGCAGAAAGTTTGTCACAATGATTTTTATTTAAAAAATGTGAAATATTCACAGTCTGTCAAATCCCTTCTTCAGTGCCAAAAAGCCATGTAAATATAACAGCCCAACCATATTACCTAGCTGTCGTCTTTGTTCTGAAATTGTCTTAGGAGGTTATAAGCTCCCCATTCTGCTTGTGTAAAAGTGGAATTTTCGAAACCTTTCTCGTTTACAGTATGTACCTTCAGTCATGTCTAATAAAGAGGCAGCGGTGACAAAATTGGCACCTACTATATACAGGAAATTCCTCTGCTTGCAGCAGTTGGGGAAACAGTGCTTCAAAAAGGTCTTTAATATTCTGCAAACAACTCAATTATTTATAACTGTTTTGTCCTTAGCTGTAAATTAAAGTAATGATCTTTTATAAAGAGAGTTAAAAAGCAGCAGGCAGGTTTTTTATTGAAGTGAATGAAATCTACCTAAACACCTGTTTTGTTTTTAAACTTTATAGGAAATCAATGTGTTGACAGTAGCATTGGTCAACCAAGAGAGAGAAAAAAATTCTGAGAAACGAAGCCAAGGTCTAAAATCAGAGAAAGAGGCACTGTTAATAGGTAAGACAACTCAGTACTCAGTTCATCACTGCATATAACAACCTAGAAAAACTTATCGTAGAATAAGCAACCTTGAAACAATTGTTTATTGTCAATGTATATTTGCATTTAATGTCACTGAATTAGAACTAAAGACTGCACTGCTTATCATTCACATGTGTTCACATTGGTTACAGTCAGAACAGCCAAATGGAATAAATAGAAACGTTTTGATCATAAGGGATATAGGACCAGTCCTACAAGACTCATTCACATGACTAAGCCTTAGTCACCCAAGAAGACCTACTGGTTTTAACATAAGCATTTTGTATGGAGGACAAGTTGCAGGATCTGCGTCTATGCTTGTAATGTGACTATAGATAGATACTGAATTTAGTTGTTCGAGGGTCTCATGGAAAAGAACCATGTGAATAGTTATCTACCCATCGCACTAACAAAATGGGTGAAAGAGAAAGGAACAGAAACAATATTGAACAAAACAAGGATGCCCTTAGCAGTTTCCTTTTTTTTTTACATTAGGTGACAGTTTACTGACAAGAATAAGTATGGGAAATACCACAAGGACAGTTAATACTTTAGCATACCTGATGAAAAACTTTGAAGGGAAATTATATGTAACGGGCATTGGTCCATTCCAGAAAATGAACTGTGACTGGCATGACATGATACAGTGAGGATGGATTGTGATATATAAGGTTGTTAGTTTGGGTTCTTTTTAATTTTGGATCAGACATTCCATACATAATTTCAGTCCCAGCATTTGGCTTGCTTTTCATTGTAACTGTAAATGAATGCCTTTGATTTATTCATGGATAAATTGAGGTAGATGACTTGGTATATTGGGAATTTTATGTAGAACTTTTCACCGCTAAGTGACCAGTTATTTGAATCCAGCCCACTTTATGGCTGTCCCATGGCTCATGTGAAGTGAGCATGTGGTCTCAGTCCTGGTCTTAATGGTCATATGTCCACATCAGACAATCATCATCAGAACTGGTGGTCTTAATGGGAACCAAGGACTGCATGGGCATGGAAACCCAACATTACTCTTTCCCTTCAAGATTAGGGATGAGGCACATTGGTGATTGGTAAGAGGAGACTTTGCCCTATAGCTGCCCATTCTCTAGAATTGTCAATATTTCACAAGCACTAAAATTCACTTAAGAAAAGCTGAGTTACTAAGTTGGTATCATGCATCTCTAGTCAATAATTAGAAGCATATTTTCAAGCAGCCTTTTATTTCCTTTACATTAATTAAAGAGGGTCATAGGTGCAGAAATCAGATCTGGATTTTGAATACCCCAAAACAGAGGTGTTTGGAGCTGAAGTTTTGGTTCAATCTATAACAAAGATGGTGCCATTAGCAAACTGAGGACTGAATACAGGTTTGGATTTCCAATGGCTCCAATCAAAGTTTAGTGGTATTTAGTTTGGGCCCAGTTCTGCAATTATTGACAGAGATCTTGATCTTGCAAAGATTTACACATGTGCTTATGTTTATACACTGGGCGGCTAGTTCCATTGATTTCCATGGGATGACTCGCTATATAAGTAAGTCTTTGCAGGATCAGGACAAGAATTTGCAAACATAACTGGAAATCTGAAAGAGGAAAAGGAAAGATGTAAAATGAATTAAGCTTTACTTATCTTTTTCTACTGTTGCCAGTGTTTGGGAAAAGCTGAAACTTAAAGGTGATTCTATTTCAGTCAGTATCAGGACCAGCAGAGTGGCTTGCAATTCACAAGATACAGTGACCCATTTTTGTAATTTGTAAGCATTTTGCTCTTGTTCTGTTTATGCCTTAAAAATAAAGAACTGCCCCTTAAGATTTATTAGTTAAGAAACTCAACCAAAGGGAGCTGAAAATATCTTTGAATCTTACTGTTCAACTCTCAGCAAATAGTTAGTGACATGCATGCTGATGACCATTACATATACTCATTGTTCTTGTAGAGAAGGAGAAATGGGATAATGCTTTTAATAGCAATGCTCACATCCAACAGCCTGCTTTCTCGATTCGTCCCTATTATGCTGACACTTGATTTCCACTACAGGAAAAAAAATCTAGATTTAGAATCTGACTCCTCCTCAGCCCTTTATTCCCAGACCTTTCAACATGATCTTGTAAATTGCAATGAAGAAAGACAGAGCTTGCTCCCTTTTAAGGAAAAAAAATAAGTAAATATGTCAAGAAGGATTTGTGCTTCTCTCAGCAGCACTTAGGGGTAATATGGATTAAACACTTATCATAACTAGCAACAACATAATTATTAGAAAAATTCAAGGCACTGCAGTTTCTGACACAGTTTATATGAAACGTTTTCACAACACAGTTTATATGAAACGTTTTCACAACAGAGCTTCCACTGAAAGGGAAAAAGCAATAATTTTTCCATTCCAATATCTAGTATTACATATTGGTAAATCAAGCATAAAATAGGTAATTGAAATGCTTCCAGCAAGTCTTTGTTTAGAAATCCCTTTATTCATCTGTATATTATCTTGGTCACTTACTTGCTAACTGCTGTCATTCCTGAAGATGAGCGATTGTGTTTACCGTGTTACTATGGCTGTGTTAAAAATGTGCTGTTCTCTTTTGTTTATTGAACTGTGTAAGAAATATAAGAATCGTAACTCAGACTGAAAAACTTGCAAAGACTTATTCAGAATTACTGTGTTTAGACATATGATATATTGACTCAGGTAATTTCAATACTTTGTGTGTTTGTTTTAATACAGGTATCATATCTACATTTCTTCATGTGCATCCTTTCGGCGCCAATATAGAATACCTTTGGTCTTACATGCAGCAGCTGGACTCTAGGGTAAAAAAAGTTAATCAAAGTCTGGTTTCTTTATAGAACTTTTGTTTTGTTCTTTACTGCATGTTAAACTCGGCATGAGTTTCCATTAGAGAGATAATGGGATGTGGGGCTTGGGGGTTTGCAGTCTTCATTCATTCGCAAATTATGTTGCGCACATGTACCTGAGGTCTTTTGCCTTTCATTACTTTGCTGTGCTTTTGTGGCAAGGAAGGCTGTTGTATTAAATGGCAAAGACTACCATGCTGATTCTAGGAAACATGATTTTTATTTACTTCGTGTAATTTGTAGGAAATAAATTAAGATGTAGGTTTAGCTCTGGCCACCAAAAGGAGAGAGGATGGCCAGACAGAGACCATTTCTTGGGACCGTGCCTCTTAGAGAGCCTTGTACCCTGCTATGCGCCCCTCACCTTACCCCGATGCTGCCCCTCAGAGCTGAGAATGCTCTTGATACTTGGCTCAGTGAGCCCTCTGCACGTTGGAGCAATAATTATGCAGTACAAATGGAGAGTGGATTATAAAGCACTAACTGCTGCAGGCCCTATCAGAGGAGCCATAGAAGTGGTCACTACCTCAGACTATAGCATGCAGATGGACCGGGGGAAGAGACTACAGTAAGCTAGATAATACACTGTCTCTCTTCTCACTTCATCCCATCCCCATACCACATAATCAACACTGTGCTTATGAAAAATATTCTTTGCTCATTGGCTAAATGTGGTGATGCCTGTGTCATAGAATGATTCTATGACACAGGCATAGAATCATAGAATGTCAGGGTTTGGAAGGGACCGCAGGAGGTCATCTAATCCAACCCCCTGCTCAAAGCAGGACCAATCCCCAGACAGATTTTTACCTCAGATCCCTAAATGGCCCCCTTAAGGATTGAATTTACAAGCCTGGGTTTAGCAGGCCAATGCTCAAACAACTGAGCTATCCCTCCCCCCTGTGTCAATGAAACAAAAGTCTGATTAAATAAGTCAAGTGAAATTCATGTTCCTATTATCTCTTCCTCTGGTCAGTATAACTTGGTTCTAAATAATCCCTTTCCTTCTGAAGTAAGGAGTTAAATACTGGCCCTGGTGAGGCTATAAAATACAAGCAGACATTAGGCACTTAACAATGATTTGCATAGCGGGTTGTTGAGATACAAGTAACTAGTTACATATTGTGGGTCAAATCCTGCACTCCTTATACTATTGACTTCAACTGACTGCAATAACCTCCCACTTCCTGTCCTCTTGGAATCTCCCCTCTTCAATCTATCTAACATTCAGACTTTAGCCAAGATAATGTTCCTTTTCTTCTGCTCTGACTATGCCACCCCTCCCTAGAACCCTTTCGTGGTCTCCATGCAAGATAGCGCCATAGCTGAGATTAGTGAGATGCCTTAGCTAGAACCCCATTAGTGTGAGAGAGAAAGGGCAGCTGGCAGGGCCCTGAGCCTTTGGAAGTCGTTTCCTGCCATAACAGCCTGTTTGTCAGTGCATCACAGCCCATCGTTTTTCTCTTGTCCTGAAGGAGGTGGGTGCAGGATAGGGCTGGGTAACAGTGAGTATTGTGTGGCTGTGTTTTCACTGCAGAGTTGTACAAATCCGAGTGATGACATGTTTCTTTCTGTATCGAGTTCAAATTCCTGGTCCTGACTTCCAAGGCACTTAGATCTTAGCCCCTTCTTTTCCCCACACTCCTCATCTTATGCTGTGCTCTGATGCTCCATATCTTCTCCCACTCGTGCTTTTGTGCCTCTTTTCATGCTGTTCCCAATCTCTGGCATATACTCGCTCTGCCAGTCAGCCAAGAGTCCTCACTCATCTTTCATATCCCTTTGTAATACCAACTGCTTTTGATTAGGTTTCAACTGCTGTCCTCTCCCAGGGTTGGCCACTCCTGCTTAATTAACAATATTTAAAATACAGGCTCCATGTGCCACATACCAGAGTTCAGACTGCTATTTGTTGTACCCCTTATGCCTCTTTTCCATCTCCTACTTCCTGTTGGAATAATTTCCTGTGTTTAATTCAGGCCCAGTGCTGCAACCTTTACTCACACAAATTGTTTCATTGACTTCACTGGGAGCATTCACAGGGTCAGACACTTGTAAACTCCTCATGGAATGGAGCTTGATCTCTCTCCCTTTCTGTAAAGTGCTGTTTAAATTTGCAGGGCTACATCAGTGCCAAATAATAAATGTGGACTGCAGGATTTGGCCGGATGAGTTTATTTCTGAAGTGACTGACAGTAGTAGCAAATTACTTTTTAATAACGGGATCCGGAGATGTAATCTCAGAGATTAATTTCATTTACTTTCCATGGATACCTTGTCATTACTACCGAAGCAGGAATGATAACGTCATAGTACCCGGGTTGGCTGCAGTCTCGCTGTGCAACTCACACGTTACACACGTTACACAAAAAGCTAACCTGCTAGCAATTACTCTTATGAGAAGTAAGAAAAATATGTAACAGATTTCTTTTTGGCTGTAGATTGATTGGCCCTGACACTGAGTCTCTCTGGCACTTTTCTGCAAATCACTTAAACGCTCTGCCTCAGTTTCCCCTTTGGAAAACTAAAGAGGCATGGCTAATATTTTCTTATCTTGCTGGGTTGGTGTTGTTAGTTAGTGTACTTCCTGTTGTAAAGTGCTGTGAAAATGAAAAATACTACCATAGTAGTATGCTAGTAGTGTTAGTAAACAGATTTGTAATAAAACTGTTGTCCACGTAACTGGAGGATACTGCCGTGAATAACAAATCCATTGCACAGGAAGCAGCAGCAGTACTTCCCAGTTATTTTTTGTCCAGAGGCCCCAGTGAGTATTCAAGCTCCTTTGGGCTAAATGCTGAACAAATGCACAGGAAGACACAACCACTGCACACCAGGAGTTTACAATCTAAAAAGTCAAAGACAAATGGTGGGAGGAAGGGGTACAGAATACAAGCAGAGTGATTACGGAGATGGCAGGTTTTGAGAGTCCCAGTTATTTGAGTGCCAGAAGGTGGGACTGGACAATGGGATGGTTCACTCAATAAATTGCCATGTTCTGTTCATTCCCTATGAAGCATCTGGCATTGGCCACTGTCAGAAGACAGGATACTGGGCTAGATGGACTATTGGTCTGACCCAATATGGCCATTCTTACGGCCTCTATTTTATTGGCGGTATCTGAGGGAAACAACCTGAATTTATATTACACTTCACTATTCTAATGTAATTTTAATTTATTTTGGCCCATTTTCACTTTTTAAAAATGCATATTTTATCTTATTAATTATCCTTGTCTATTCAAATGTTATTTTCTCCCATACCGTGTGCCTTACTGCTGACCCAGAACAGACACTTGTCGGACCAAGATGGTGGTTCAGTTTCCATGGTCATTCTGTTTTTGGTCTCTTTGCTGATTCTGCAAGGGTGCCACCGTGGTGGTGATTTTTGTTTTTGGGGTGATGATGGGCCCATCTTTCCAACTAGAAACTTGACTGAGGTGACCAGCTCACATAGCTCTCCAAATGTACAAAGACTTTGAGGGACATAGAGGCAGAAACAATGTCTCCTAAAGCTCTGGGGCTGCTGCCGAATCCTCAGGCAGTGTACCATGGAGCTCTTAACCTGCACTGTGCCTCAGTGGGTCACAGCTGAGAATGCCAGGTTCAAGACAAACCACTGAGAAACAGGGCAGGCTCACCCCAAACTGGTGGTTATTCTATTATTAGATTATACCAAGCCAGTAACAAAAGTAAACTTCTGTCTCACCACATTGGTTAACAAGAAGTCAGAAATGCAGTCTCCTTAGGCATTCCAACCCTTGTTTCACCACCCAGACACTGGACTCTATGATGAGTGGTTACTGAAAACCAATTTCATCACATATAGGGTCCTCTAATCCCAAGAGATCAGCCACATAGCCAGGTCAGTCTATAACTCAGATCTTACCCAATAATCATGCTGTTGCCAATCCTTTAGGCCTGGTCTACACTATGAGTTTAGGTCGAATTTAGCAGCGTTAAATCGAATTAACCCTGCACCCGTCCACACAACGAAGCCATTTACTCCGACATAAAGGGCTCTTAAAATCGATTTCTGTACTCCTCCCCAACGAGGGGAGTAGCGCCGAAATCGACATTGCCATTTCGAATTAGGGTTAGTGTGGCCGCAATTTGACGGTATTGGCCTCCGGGAGCTATCCCACAGTGCACTATTGTGACCGCTCTGGACAGCGATCTGAAGTCAGATGCACTGGCCAGGTAGACAGGTAAAGCCCCGCGAACTTTTGAATTTCATTTCCTGTTTGCCCAGCGTGGAGAGCACAGGTGATCACGCAGAGCTCATCAGCACAGGTAACCATGCAGTCCAAGAATCGAAAAAGAGCACCAGCATGGACCGTACGGGAGGTACTGGATCTGATCACTATATGGGGAGAGGATTCCGTGCTAGCAGAACTACGTTCCAAAAGATGAAATGCCAAAACATTTGAAAAAATCTCCAAGGGCATGATGGAGAGAGGCCACAATAGGGACTCACTGTAGTGGCATGTGAAAGTTAAGGAGCTCAGACAAGCCTACCAGAAAACCAAAGAAGCAAACGAAAGGTCTGGGTCAGAGCCACAGACATGCCGCTTCTACGCTGAGCTGCATGCAATTCTAGGGGGGGGCGCTACCACTACCCCACCTCTGACCGTGGATTCTGAGGAGGGGGTAATCTCAGCCATCCCTGAGGATTCTGCGGACAGGGAAGATGAGGAGGAGGAGGAGGAGGAGGAGGACGAGCTTGCGGAGAGCACACAGCACTCCGTTCTCCCCAACGGGCAGGATCTTTTTCTCAGCCTGACTGAAGTACCCTCCCAACCCTCCCAAGGCAGTATCCCAGACAATGAGGCCATGGAAGGGACCTCTGGTGAGTGTACCTTTGTAAATATAAAACATAGTTTAAAAGCAAGCGTTTTTTAATGATTAATTTGCCCTGAGGACTTGGGATGTATTCGTGGCCAGTACAGCTACTGG